CTTCTTTCTTTTAAATAAGTTGGTATTTTTCCTCTTCACCTTAAAAAAGTACAAAAAGAATATTACCAAGTTATTTTAAGAAAAATTATAGTAAATTATAAATTAAACATATTTTGTTTTTCATAATATATATATCATATTATTTATTTCGTTTTATTGCAAAAAACATTAATAAATATTTTTTTATATTATTGTTTGGTACTTATTTATAAATTATTCGGATTGTAATAAAAGTCTGATAATTAAAATAGTTCAAAAATACTAAAATAATAACTATTCTATATAGTTTATTTAAAACAAGTCATGTTTTTTAACAAAAAACAATGTTTATTATTTTATATAAAAATGTAATAATGTTTATTTTTATATTTTTAAATTAACTTTGTGTTTTTAAACAATCAAATAAAATATTTTTTTGTCAAAAAAATAAATAGTTAATTACAATTATCTCATCTAATAACAAAAATACAATTATGATTTTTACCAATAAATATGTTAAATTTATAAATTCAATAAACAATACAACTCAAAAGAGACTCAAAACAAATAAAAATGAGATATAAAAGGAAATCTTAAATAACACATATAACAGAGCACATTAATTGAAAACAACACTCTGGGTGGTTTATAGAAGCATTTTAAGCTCCTCCACAATGAGGTAAATGAAATACAATTGAAATTAAGTTACACTCTGCCTGTTTTTAAACATAGCCAAGGAGTCCACTAAATTGAAAAATGGAAGGTAAACATTGTTAAGCAAAAATGAAGGACATGTGTAAGAGTGAAAAGACAATGTAAAAATTGATAAATGGACAAATTATTTCCAAAACAATTACTCAAAAGGAAGAGATTGTATTTTTCTCCAATTGTGAACAAGGAATTGGACACATGAAATTCTGGGTACTGGAGATTGGCAAGAAATAAATATTGACAAACAGCGGGATGTATGAGAAATTGTGCAATAAGGAATATCTGGAAAAAGTTCGAAGCGCCTAATAGAAACACTACTAGAATCCGTTCTGAGTAAATGATTTGTTTGTTTGAACAAAAGGAAGAGAAAAAAGAAAAAACAATTATTAAACAAGAACAAAGGGCGATACAAATAGCAGGCATACTTTAAGAAATGCTAGAATCAAACTGTTGTGCCCCGAAAGTGGTGGACTATGTTTAAGCTTTTGGGGCCGAAAGAAACTGTTTTTGAAACTTATCCGTGTATCAACTACTCGCTATAAATTAAAAAGTGGAGAAAAACTTTTTGAAACTAAAGTGGCTGATATCAATAATGAATATATTATCAATTATATCTTATTAACTTGTTTACATTTTTCTTTGATAAAGTTGATGTTTTTTGTGCGTTTTAAAGATTTCTAATAATGATTCTATTCTGGGTTTTAATTTTGTTTATAGAATAATTGAAGCAAATCGATGTTGTGGTAATTAATTGACATATTTCAAGTTTTGTTTCTGTTATTCTTTTATGTTTGTATTTTTGTTATACAAATGTTATTAATCCCGTAAAATTAAGTATTTTTCACCAATCTTTTTTGGGAAAATAAATCAATTTTGGATTTATTTATATTTTAACTAAATTTTTTCAGAATTTTAATTATATTATTAATTTGTTGTTTTGATTAATATATATTTTTATTTTTTATCCTATTTGTGTTTTTTTGTTATATTTTTGTAACTATTAAAAATAGTATATATATTATAAATTTATTAATTTTTACTCAATGTTATTTTATTTATTGAAAATAATTGTATTATTTTTTAATTTAAAAATATTATAAAATTTAATACATAATTAAATAATGTAAATTAATTGTACCAATATTTATAATATATATAATTATAAATTATAATACACAATTATAATGACTTTATATTAATTTTAGTTATATTTAATTATAAGTATAGTTAATAAATAATTAATAAATCGGTCAATTTGGCTTTTTTTATTGCTAAATTTCGGGAAGAACTTGTCTTTCTGAAAATTTTGCCTTTTTTATGTGGGTATTTTTCCTGTTTTTTTACATTTAATGAAACCAATATAATATCATATTGTTTCTGAGATATAAACATCCAAAAATAGGTGATGATGTGGCAACCTTTTTTTTCCCGATTTTTAGGCCAACACATTTTTGGCAGCTTGCCTCACCTTGACCAGTGTCTTAATATAATATTTCTAAATCATTATCTTCTGATAAACACATTACTTTATTCATTAATCTTTTAGACATACTTAATATTTGTATACCATTTAGATAATTGGCATCAAAGTTATCAATTTCATTATGTATTTTAATTCCAAATTTACTATTTCTTTATTCTTCTCTTGTGTATTCCAAAATACTTGTTCTAGGACCAGATATAGGAATAGAATTAGGTAATCTATTCATTTCTAATAAATTATTTTATGACGATTATTTACATAAAATGTTTAAACTTCATATTCAACCCATTTACCTTCTTTATTCTTCTTTATATTAACACCATTAACAAACACAATCATTTTTTTTCACTAATTGGTTTCTGTATATACTTTCCATATATAGAATTCATAATCAATTAAATAACATACTCTATTGGTGATCCTTTATATTCACACCTTAATTGATATAAATTTTCAATAACATCTCTAATAATTGGATTCCTTTTACCAGTCCAAACATATCCTCTAATAATTTTACAATCTATATTTTGTTATTTTACTAAATCTTCTAAAGTAATATTATCCACTATCATATTACATAATTCGTTTATATTTCTATTTAATTTAGTTTTAGGATCTTTTTAACATAATAACGGAAAATATATTTTAATACCAATTTTAGTAATTTGTATATCTACAACATAAGCACTAATGAATCTATCTTAAGTAGTTTCAAATTGATTTTCTAACATTGAATGTTCTAATAAATACTTTAAATTAAGTTGATTATCAGTCATAACCATTGGTAAACCTTCTACTAAATACAATCTTTTCATAGCTGATGGATATAGAGAACAAAAATCTAGATCATATATTTTATCTTTTACTTGTTGCATTTTATTATCTTTACACATACATCTACCACCATATATAGCACCTCTTAAGAAATCTCCAACGTTGGATGAATAATAATATAAATTAACAACTTTAGAATAAATATTCTTGTAAAATACATATTTACTAAAGATGGAGCTGTTAAACATGTATCAACATTTATAATTAAATTAGATTAACAATCTTCTTTAAATATATTAAATCCTTCTTTAAGAATTCTAACATCTTGTTTACAATAAAATTCTGCATATTCTCTATTATTAAAACATAAACTTTTTTCAAATTGTTTTGTTATATTTAATTTATTAATATTATCTTTAAATTGTTTAATTTCGTCTTTAGTTTTAAAATGTTTTCATGAATCTTCAACACTTTTATAACTAAGTTTAATATAAATTTTATAATAGAAATTATAAGGAAATGCTTTTTTAATTCCAACATCTAGATTAAATGTTTTAGGAAAATCTCTTAATAGCATGTTTAACAATGATAACAAATCTTAAAACGTAATAATCTTAGATTTAAAGTAAGGTACTTTAACTTTAATCTTTAATTTAAATATTTTATTACCTTTAGGTATAAATTCAACTATTTGATAATCATTCATTATAAATCTTCCATCAAATCCCAAATTATGAAAATAACATAAAGAAAAATCTTTTAAACTGTTTATATATTTATTTACAAAATTATCTCCATAATATGAGTTAATATCAGTTTTTTTTCTCCAAAAGCAACACAATAAGGGTTTTCAATATTATTAAGTTTATTCATAGCAATATTACCAACTCTATTAATATCATCTTTTTCATCTTCGTCATATATTTCTTTACCTTATTCATTATATGATTCGAAATCAGCATAATAAATATTTGAATATTCTTCAATATCATTGTTTTTTCTATTATCAAAATGTTTTATAATTTCATATATTTTTCTAAATGATTCTATTGAATAATCAACATTATTAGTATTATCTTTATGTTGTTGTTAAATCTCATTTGTAATATTAATTTTATCATTATAATGTTTATTATTTACAATATTTATTAAGAATTTGATAAAAGACATTTTCTTTCTAGAATCTTTTTTAGGTCTGCTTTTAATCAAACAAAACGTTTAGAAATAATTAGATAAAACAGTATTAGTATCTTTACTATATTTCTTTATTTGGTCATAATGATCGAAAAAGTATTGTGTAATTGGTAAATCAACATCTGGGAAATAATGATGATCAAAATATGCAATTATAATAATATCTTTAGATTTATTTGCTTTCAAGATAATTACTTCTTTATTTTGTTTCTTATAATATTTTCCAATTTGAACATTTAATTTATATTTCTTAACAAATAGATTGACAACTTTTAAAGATAAAATTACTTGTAAACACTCTATATCTATAGTTTCGCTTAATGTTTCGTTATTTGTTTGTTTAAGGATGGCATTAGTAAAACAATTATTTTTAAACTTTTAATTTTTGGTAAGAGAGAATTGTAATAATTCTGAAAATTGTTTAAACTCTTTGTTAACAACATTACTAAATAAACCTCCAGTATGAGATTTATTCATTCTAGTTTGTTTAATTGGATTTTCTCATGTCATTTATAAAGTTAAAAAAAATATTATTTTAGAATAATAGAAAAATAAATTTCAAATATCTTGACATTATTTTAATCTGGAATATTGCTTTGAAAGTACCGACTGAAATGTAGGCGCTGAAAATGCGGTATTCCACTACTACCAAATAATAAATACCGAAGTCAAATTTTCAATTAATTTTTTATTTAAATATTTAAATATTTTAATATTTTTTTAAGTTGTTAATTAGATATGAAGTATTATTTGTTTGAATTCTATCAATTACACGTTAATTTATATTCAAACCAATTCATTATGATAACTATTATTTATTTTATTATACAAACACTTTGAAATTTATTTTGAACCAAACCCGCCTTATAAACATTTCAATTACTTTTTTTATTTCTCGTTTATTTTTTGACTAACATTACTATCAAAATTTGAAATTATGGGCTTTTATTAAATAAAAGAGATTTTAACACCATAAAAATTTATATATTTATATAGTATTTTGACAACAAAACAGCCCAGTACATGAAACCGGGAACAGGGATGATGAGATGGTTCAGAAAGAGTACTGCTCGGAGTCATGTGAGCCTACCGAAAAGTTGGGCGAAACATAATTGAATTATTATGTTTTTTGACAACAAAACATATACAATCAATTAATTTGATAGACACCACAAAACAAACAAGATAAAATAATGTTTAAAGATGCTCCATTTAGAGTAAAAATAATTATATTAATTAAAAATGTAATTGTAGATTAAAAAATTGTTGTTTTTAAATATTGTTATTGTTCAAAAAACAAATTTATTTTAATATTTTGTAGAAGTCAATTCATTTTAAAACTTTCATACAATAACTTATAATGTTGTTGCGAACTATATTTTAATTTTGGCTTATTTAAGCGTTAATATGATTTTTGACATCAATTATAATTAACACAAAGTTATTTAACTATCATAATTTATAATGTATATATTGTTATATTTATATGCGCTTATCTTGTTGTTAACTATTATTTTAATTTTAACGAAATGATAATATTATTGTGTTTATTCTTTTGTTTGTAATAATGGATCGTGCATATATATTGGTGAAAAATGAATAATTTGTTAATTTAATATTTAAAAAAGAATTTGCTTATTTTTTCTTGTTGATTGTACCCAGTTTTTTATTGGTGTTTATTTATTAATTTTTACATTGTATTCAATCTTATTATTAGTTTGTCAATATAAATAATAAATTATCGATGTCAATTTAATTTAATTGGTTTATTTATTATATAATCGCCCAAAAAGAAAATGTATATATTGTGTCATGTAATTACTTTGTAATTATTAATATTTTCGTTTATAGACTGTTTATTGTTGTTTGTAAGATAACAATTATTATTATTTGTTGTTTTAATCATTTATCAAAAATTTTAATATAATAAAAAAGTGAAAAGCTGGTTTATTGTAATATAATATGGTGTAATTAATCATATAAATATTAATATTATTAACCCTTAGAAAACAGCGTTTTCAATTATTCATACAACAAAGTTATCAATATGATAAAAAGTTTAAACAAACAAATAACATATGTACTATAATGTAGAAACAAATGTAATTGTTAAATATAATTTCCAATCGAATATTATATTTTAATAGGAGTGTTATTCTCAAATAATAATTGTAACTTTTGCGTAATTAATTTTACATTTTCTTAAAACAAAGAAAAATTAAATATAAACAATTGTTTTCGATTTCATTTTGAAATAACTTCGATATCCTCAATTTTAATTTAACAACTTTTTCTTTATAATTACGTACAAGCAAGATATAATATACATTTTTTACTATCTTTTTATAATGCGAGTTTTGTTAATTGATTATATCAAAAATCGTCAAAACACAACAAAAACGCCAAATAATATATAAAATTGATTATTAAATTAAAGATACATTTATTGTAATTAATATTGTATTATAAAAATAATAATATAAACATATATTTATTGTATATATATGTGTTTTGAAAAATGAATAAAACAGCTTAAAAATAAAAAAATAATTTCACAAATTTGT